TGAACGAAGAATTACGTTTTATGACGAGGAGGAATCAGGAAGACACTTGATAAATGATGAAAATCAGAAAAATAATCAGAAAGAAAAAATAAAGTAACATTATTCAGTCACTGCAATGGCGAAGATCTAAGAATTCCTACGCAAAAGCACGGCTCATCACTGCACGTTCAGCCAACCATCCTTTGAACGATGGATAGCATTTACCTTATTTGTGATTTTCTTCCAAAAACAGTGATTTCTCACAAGACTTCCACAACCTCAGGGAAAATTATTCATAGGCAAAGCAGAGGTTCCATTCACAGTAGGTCATGTAGAGCGGATGTCAGAGGAGCTAGTCACCAGGCGGACGTATCTGAAAAAGTTAGTGAAGAATGATCAGGGGCAAATCGCGGTCCGAAAGGCTTGATTATATGAGTCGCGCCTTAGCACCAACACCACTGAGGTTGTCCATTTTATAGCACACCGGGACCACTGGAAAGGCACCGCAAAGCAACTGCTCGCATCAACTGAAAGGAATAAGGGGAACTTAAAATAAATAAATGAATGACTCCATAGCTATTTGCCTCGAACAGAGAAAAACTTATGCAACCGACCAACCGCATCTTCGTACTTCGTCCAAGAAATCCCGCTGCAATAAGTACCGGCAGAACTCAATCCGTTCCATGACTAAGCGACAGCCATACCGCCGGTAGGAAAAAACAAAACCAATCTTATTCGAGCATAAGCAAAAAAATAAGCTTCTAGTTATGCTTCGAAAAATATCTGCTCTTACCTACTCGCTGAACGATTTTCGCAAACATAACGTGGTCGGTGACAATTCTGCCCAATTCCGGAAAGTGCCAGCCGTACCACTCGCGAAGACGCATCACGTAGTTGTTCATTTCCTTGTCTAGGTCGTCAAGAAGTGCTAAAAGAGAACAGCACCTACACGTCAAGCACTACTGTACATCGGCTTTACATTCTACCATACCTATCGCCTGAACGATCATCGTGTCGACCTTTTCTGGACTGAACTTCAGTTTGTAACGCGACAGGCTGAAAATCACCAGTTCTTCACTGCTTATCTGCTAAGTAGGTAGTGACCACTCATACAGGTAATTACAAATACCAAAATTTAACGTCGGGAAGAGATATAAAGTTTAACCCCGGCAGGGTCTCTCTGTACACTGGACACTTAGAAAACCTCTGAATTCTCCAAAAATCCAAACTTTGGCCAACGTCGCTGAGAGCGCGAATAATTAAAGTATGGATCACATGCATGACTACCTATGGAAAATGTATTCGCAATAGCACAAGCTATTACAGTAGCTACGAAATGCTTACCATGGACCTAAAAACGGATGGTTATCGAGGTATTTAATATCTCTCTTTGCAAATGTATTCTCTTTGTACATGCCTATCGAAAACTACCGGTGTTTTGGTAGTGACGATGACTGTAAAAGTTGGTTTTACGGTTGGTTGTAGAACAATTCATATGCGAAGCGGGCAATTCTAAGACCACATGAACCCAAATTGATTCAGTTTCTACTTTTGGCCTAAATAACCTGAAGGTAACCCTTCACGAAAGTTAAGGCAGCGCCTCCGGTTAGCTACGCAATACAAGTTAATCACGCCGACCAACTCTGTCGGTGAAAATGTCGCGAATAACATACTAGTGCCGGCGTTAGATTAGTTACGGTGAGCGCGGCAAGGGAAAAATAGAAATAAACACTCTATCTGGTGAAAGAACGTTGATCAGGCACACCACGCGGAACAATAACTTACCTGTGAGCCAAGCCGAGCGCCATCGCCGCCATCTCCGAACGCGGTATATCCGTGATCAAACTTTCCAGCTGAGAACGAATGCAGCGCATCAGTTCCTGAACTGTAGAGTTTGACAGGCACGAGATATTGAACTTGTCCTGAAACAAACATCAGTGAACGGGACAAACGCATCGAACAACAGATCACAACATCACCCAGACAAAATTATCCGTATTATGAATCACTAATAATCAGATACGCTTCTTATTACCATAATGACCAAAAGTTCGAGAGAAGCAAGCAAGAGACTACATGACACACTTATCAGGCAAATACAGATGCTACATTCAAATATAAGACCCTTATAGCTGACTGCATCGAAGAGCACATCAGCGCAATCAACAGACCCATGAAAAAACGGCTACAACATACTGCCCTTCCGTGCAAGTATGACCAATATCGACATTACAACGGCTACAAATCTTTCATCCGTTTAACCGGTGGCGCCGCCCTCTCACCCTCAGCAACACTATGTCCCATTCAGATTAGAAAGCCTGTGATCAAACCCTCTAACTGTCTGAGCAATCTGATGCAGTGCTTTAAAATGAAAATATATCGTAACAGAAAACCCTGGTATCTTTCTCCGAGTCATAATCACGTACATGCATCTCAAGATACGCTGACCAGGTGGATCTGCGTACAACAGCAATGATATCCTCTTAGATACTCGTTTTTGAAGCGTACCTGTACTTAAGAAGACATCCCTGAAGTTCTCTCCCGTCTTCGGCACAATCACGAAACAGCCAGTCTGGCCAACACTAAATTACGAACTTTCATCACCAGTTTTCCAAACTTGATGTCATTTTGCTGTTCTTATTCAGCCATATCCATAAAACTCTCAATACCATGTGTATGTGTTTCAAATGATCAGCCTTGGTGCTAAAGACGTGGATTATGGATCAAGGCTAATGCAGTGTGTCGCATGCCCGCTCAACTGCGTAGGCGTTTATTCCCC